TAGACGGTGTTACATGACTCACCGCTCATGGTCACGCTGCTGAATCCTCCATACCATCCATAAAGATTGTCGTGGGAGAAACGAAATACGGACTGTTTACTACGGAAATTTCCCGAGATCACTCGATCATATGGAGCGCCTAAAGACATTAGGTACAGCACCAAACACTATTCAAACGATATCAGGACCCCTAGTATCTTGTAAACCACGACGCTTAGCACCTGATAAGCTCAAAGCAGCAAAAAAAGGAGTTTGAAGCTATGATCCAATTAGGTATTATTCGACCGTCCCAGGGACCTTGGGCATCACCATTACACTTGGTATCAAAGAACACAACGGACGCTTGGCGTCCTTGTGGGGATTACCGTGCTCTAAATGCTCGGACTATTCCAGATCGGTACCAGGTTCGTCATATTCAGGACTTTGCACATTTTCTCCACGGTAAAACGATTTTTTCAACAATCGACCTAGTCCGAGCATATAATCAAATTCCTGTAGCTGAAGAAGATATTCCTAAAACCGCAATTGTGACACCATTTGGACTTTACGAATTCCTCTTTATGTCTTTTGGGCTTCGAAATGCAGCACAATCATTTCAACAATTTATTGATGAAGTACTTTTTGGACTTGATTTCTGTTACAGCTACATTGACGACATATTGGTGGCATCTGTTTCTGAGGAAGAGCACATCAAATATTTACAGATCATTTTTGAGCGTCTACGTGAATACTCTCTGGTTGTCAATCCAAAAAAATGCGTTTTTGGACAGTCAGAAGTAAAGTTTTTAAGCTACATGATTTCTAGAGAAGGAACACGTCTTCTACCCGACAGAGTCACTGACATTTTGAGCTACAAGAGACCATCGTCCGCTAAGGGTCTACGACAGTTCTTGGGTATGATAAACTTCTATCGTCGTTTTATATCTGGAGCTTCAGATGCACAAGCACCACTAAGTGATCTTTTGGTACCCAATTTAAAAGGTAAGTTACCTATTAACTGGACACCAGAGGCTATTTCGGCTTTTGAAAAATGAAAGGAAAAACTCGCCACAGCCACGCTTCTCGCACATCCATGCAACAACGCTCGACTGGCTATTGTAAGTGATGCTTCAAACACCACAGTTGGCGCAACTCTCCAACAGTTCATCAATAATGAGTGGCAACTTCTTGCCTTCTTTTCCAAGAAGCTCACAGCAACCGAGACGAAATACGGAGCCTACGATCGGGAACTTCTCGCGATCTACCTTGCTGTCAAGCATTTTCAGTATATGGTGGAAGGACGCGATTTGTTTATATTCACTGATCACAAACCCATCACTTTTGCATTTCAGCAGAAATCGGATAAATGCACACCACAACAATTCAGACACCAGGACTTTATCTCACAATTCACCACGGATATTAGGTATGTTCCAGGTAAGCAGAATATCGTGGCTAATACCTTATCTCGCGTTGACGCTTTGTCAGAAACAATAGACTACACTGCATTAGCGATATCACAACAGGGAGACGATGAATTAAAAAAATACGAAAAAGAAAACATTGGACTACAACTCAAGCAAGTTCAATTACCAGGTACAAATGTCTTAGTGTTCTGTGACGTATCAACTTCAACCGCCAGGCCTTTTGTCACAAAGCCATTCCGACGTAAAGTTTTCAATAATATACATCGCCTTGCACATCCAGGTGTCAAGGCCACGACGAAGCTTGTTAAACAGCGATTTGTGTGGCCAGCAATTGACGCAGATTGCAGACATTGGGCGAGGGCGTGTGTAGAATGTCAACGAGCCAAAATCACGCGCCATGTCACAGCACCTCTTGGTTCATTTTCTTTACCGTCTCAAAGATTTGAACATGTTCATTTAGATCTAATCATTATGCCTTATTCTGAAGGATTTCGCTATTGCCTCACGTGTATCGATAGATTTACTCGATGGCCTGAGGTAATTCCATTGGAAGATCAAGAAGCGGTAACCGTAGCACGAGCTTTCTATACGCATTGGTTCGCATGATTTGGTACCCCTCTTCGATTTGTCAATCATCGATTGGTAGACGAACATTACCACACACCTATCAATTTATCTGTCAAACTTCAATTTGTCAGCAAATCGACAAACCGATCGTTATGTGTATGGTACGCTTTAGAGCGAGATTTTCATGTCGACGACAGTAACATTGAATATAATTTAATAATAATAATAAACAAGTACGTATGGACCGTGTAATGATTTAAATTCTAAAAATAAAAGCTTCGTTAATAATGTAAAATAACGATTGGTAAAAAATACTTGTTATTATTATTTCAGACTTATTCTGAACACTTGCAGTATTACTTACAAAAAACTAAAATTTAATTAATGTGTATGTATATTCTTAATTGTTATTATTCAATTTTTTTATTCGCATCATTCGCATTAGGGTGTGCCAAGGCACACCCGGCCAGGTGCGGATACAAGGGGGGGCTATGGGAGCAATGGCCCCCCCAAATTTTTTAAAAAAAAAGGTCGGGGAAAAAATTATATGTATACATACTATATAATATATTAAAACAATATTTAAAATTATTCTTATAACATATTTTCTTTATTAGATTATAATGATTTGTAAAATTCATGTTGGTTTCGGTCGATTCTATTTATAGTTCTGTAATTTCTATTTTTTTATAATCGCATCGGCGTTGGCTAACGACGGCGTAGATCGTTCACGTTATCTTATCGTCGTAATCACACATACTACATTGACTATTTCTATTATTACAATATTAAATATAATAAAACATTATCATTAAATTTAATTTCAATCATTTTTATGCTAGTGTCAAAATAATGTAACATAATAAACCCTGATAATTAATTGATATTATTTGATGGCCCCCCCGTAAATCTATTCTGGATCCGCGCCTGCACCCGGCACATCCGTAGGTCCGTCTATGGTACCAAACGTGTTTGTCGTTCAGTAAGGGTTAAAATATGCCTGGGTGCAGTGGTGTAACCAAGAGGGAGGGGGCTAAGCGGGCTATAGCCCCTCCCCCCTTACGAGTTGTGTTTATGTGTATGTACTAAACTAGTATACCTACTACTAATTGGTGTTTAAATATTTCAAAACTTTGGCGGTAACTAAATGTTGACGAGGAACGGGTGTTCGTCATTGATAAATATATAAGTGTATCTTTTTGGTAGATATCGTGAAAGTTGAGGCAACTTTCGTCCAACACTTACATTTTATAATCACTTCAGTTTTATGTACCATGTCATGTCGTAGCGATACTACCGCATGCGACTACCGTTAATTTATTATTATTAATCATATTTTAATGAATAGGTATTATTATAACTATTTTAAAATGCTGGAAAAACATTTTAAACTTTGGCGGTGGGGCGGAATAGTGGGTGAACTCTTAAAGAATTTCTCACCCAACCTTCCCAAAAGTGTTTAACCCTCCCCCCGTTCAAATATCCTGGTTACGCCACTGCCTAGGGGGGGGGAGCGTATGTAGAGTAGGCTCGGTCGGAAAACGCATATTTTCTTTTCGTCCAACAAGAAACGACCACGACGGGTACGGATCAAGTCGAGTACGTGTGCGCGCGCAACACCGTCGGCCTTCACAGTTTCCGTTGGCAGCGCTGCGACATCCGCGACACCGATAACCGAAATTCGCGAAAAAAATAGTTTTTACATTTCAAACAAAAAAAAAAACCATTTTTAATTCATTTCAATTGTTTTTTTTTTTTTTATTTAAACAAAATAATTTTTCTTTTCTTTTTCAATTGTTTTATACATGTTTTAAACATTTAAACATTTTAAAATAAGGAAAGAATTGTTATAATTTACTTTTAATGGGCAATAGGAAATGGCACGTATGTATGTATGTATGTCACAATATTTATTTTCGAAGCTGGTCATAGTTTGGGATTCGAGGGAATCTATGTAATCAACACTACACAATAGTAATCAGTACCTCACAGACGTATAAATGTAATTTAAATTAGTAATCAAGTAGGTACTTCAAGTACTTTAGTTAGTTTGAATGTTAACAATTGCTCGTAGTTACATGTTTGTCTGTCGTCTCCAGACCGAAGGGTTTTGATGAGTGCAAAACGGGACATTCAATAAAATCGACGTTTTTTAAAAATTTGAATTATAATTTACCATCAATATCAATTCATATAGTTTGTTGTTATTACTTATTTACAAGACCGAAAAAAATGAAATTTGAATAATAATATGTGGTACTCTTTTTTTTATGTTTTAAAAGAATTTATTAAAAAACATTAAAAAACAATAAAAAAAAAAAACATACAATGTAAAAAAACATTTTTCAAACAATCTGTACCGGAACACGTTTAAATCAAATGTTTAAAACTGCGAACCCTGCCGATAACGCGACACCGTCGTTCCGCGGAGACATCGAAACGTTGGGCGCTGCGTGCGCGGTGTTGTGCCGCCGCACGGTGGATTCGTCTCGTGGTCCATTTTTCGTGGACCGATAACACCGCGCCGCCGTCCCATGTGATAACACCGGTGTTATCACGCGTGGGCCGCGCGTACCGTTCGCGTGTGTTCGCATCGCCCTACGTTCGCCCTGTGCCCCCGTACGGAACGTCTTCGTTGTGCCGAAATGTCTCGATCCTCAAGCGGCAATTGCAATACCGACGACGGTCCGCGCGATTGCGAACGCGGCTGTCCGCCAACACGATAACGACCGGCAATCGCCCGCGAACCGCTCCGGTTGCGGTTCACCGCGAACCGATGTCGATTGTTTATCGATTGCAATTGTTCCCGTTCGTTTTCATCTGATTTGCATTTCAAATGTGTTTCGTGTGATACCGTTCCTTGTCCCGTTTGACAGCCGTGCGCCGTCACAGATGTCGCAATCGATCGTCGATAGTTGTTATTGGTCGCAGTTTTTTTCTCGACTATGGTCAACCGCCAAACCAGTGTTCTGATCACGTCCAGTTGTGCTCGGTAACTTCCGCCTGATCAGGGAACACTTCTCCGAGATGAGTAAGGGTAACAGTGCCACCAAAAAGACCTCGGGTATGTTCAAACTGTTTACGTCTCGATGATTCGAAGACGAAGCACAGATTCAAAAATAATTTAAGATGTAAAAGCCAAGAACGGAGCCGACTCGGTGTGGCGAATGTAAACCGTTTCCCGTTGAGAACCTTTTGAACCATTTATTGTTTTATGAGAATATCTGTTGTTACTTGTGTGCACCCACTGCTCGTTTAATATTTCATCAGTTGATCTTTAATATTGTATTAAACCTGTCCAGGTTACATTTATGCAAACTCCTATCCTTTATATTTGGTTTATTCGTATCACGGATGGTAGTTACCTATGACAACACACAGAATCTCGAAACATATGTTTCCTTGTTTTAGTTGTTCGAGTTGTTCATAAGACATTAATTGTATACATAATATAATTAATATTCACTTAGCTTATTCAATAAAGTCATCTAATATTTTACTTAACTTTATTGTCTACAAATATCTTTTGAATACCTTCAACCAGCAGAGTCTCCATCTATAAATAAATTGTGCGAGTAAAGCTGCATTACCTCTTGACTCATAATAGCTGGACATAATAGCTTATAAGGCATATCCTATATATTTTATTTACCAATTTTATCAATTGTTTTCTATAACACATTAAAATATAGTAGTATTTTTAACAATGTAATATGATTTCTTACCTATAATTTAGAATTAACAATATGTTTTTATTTGATTTATCACTTAAATTGTTATTAATTAATTAAATCATGGTAATACTTTGATATCCGTATAAGTTCCATAATTTATCATATTATATTAATTCAAATTTAAATAGGTTTATTTTTTCTTGAATAAAAAAATATTTTGTTAATATAATTTACCTAATAATATAATTTCACTAAATAATATCATTGCAGTGAACAGTAGAAGTTATTACCATTTTAGATACTTTATTATTGTCTTAGAGATTTGAAGTGAATAAATTATTTTTGTAACTAAAAATTATAATTTTAGGCATACATTAATCATTAATTGATTCCATTTAAAATAAAAGCTTTAGCTTTTATTTTGAGTAACTTTCTAATGCAATTATTTTTTCTTTTCATAGGATCTCTATGGGATTTCATACGTGTAGAGTTTACACGTGGCTATTCGCTGGAAAATGATGAAAAAGAATTTTCTGATAGAAGAGAAAAAGTATATACTTTTATGAAAATACCTTTAGAGGTAGAACAATTCATGTTCTATGGCTTTTGTCAGGTATGAAAGTTCACTAGTATTTAACTATAATTACATATATATATATATATATATAAGTACATAATGTGTACAATATTATTTGAAAATATTTTCATAACATTATTATATAATTATATTATCTTGCAATTTAAGTGTGCTGATTCATTCCTATTTGTTTATACATTCCTACCACTAAGAGCATTAGTTGCACTAAAAGCATTAATTTGTCGATCTATATCAAAATTCAGGTTAGTACTATGCAATCAAATATAACTAACATGTTAAATTAAATGTTAATTTTTTAGGAAAAAACAAAAACATAATCGGTTATCTGCTGCAGAAGCATGTGACTTACTTAAGATGGCCGTATTAATAACATGTTCACTGTTGCTAATGCCTTGGGATACATCAATGATGTATCATGTAATTAAGAGCCAGTCAGTTATTAAATTGTACATATTCTTTAACATGTTAGAGGTGATATATATGAATATTTCATTTATGGTATATTTATAATGTTTATACATTTTTTTATTATAGGTTGGAGATCGGCTGTTTTCATCATTTGGCCAAGATATTTTAGATGCTTTATTTTGGACCGCAACTGAACCAAAACATAGTCGACGTGAACATTTTGGTGTTTTACCACATTTCATAATTGCAGTATTTTATGTCTGTATCCTTTTATTATTTTGAGTATTTCAATTAAATATTTAGAATACTTTTAATTTAGAACAAATTTTAAATATTTCTTAACTCAGAATATCAGTTTTACATAGCATACTTGTATTATGCCAGGCCACAACATTAAATGTTGCTATAAACTCTAGTCATAAAGCATTGCTCGCAATCATGATGTCCAACAATGTAAGGATTCATAAGTCGTATATTATTTAATGGAGTTTAAATTGAAATTATTTTTTAACAGTTTGTAGAACTAAAAGGAAGTGTATTCAAAAAGTTTGATAAAACAAACTTGTTCCAGTTATCATGTAGTGATGTTCGTGAACGATTTCATCTATTTATATTGCTGTTAATTGTCGTCGTGCAAACTATGAAAGAATATCAATGGAATAGTGGTTAGCATTTTATTAGTACATTTTTTTTTAAAAAAAAGGTTTAGTTTGAAGAAATAAATTTTATAATAAATTAAAAAATTAAACGTACCAAGTTTTTTTGGACTATGACCTTTTCTTCTTAAATTATTTTTTTCAATTTTTTTATTAATAATGTATTTTATTTCAGAGTCATTTTGGGAATTGATACTGGACTGTATGTACGTTATGTTATCAGAAATGCTAATTGATTGGACAAAACATGCATTTATTACTAGATTTAATGAAATTAACTTGTCAGTATACAGCGATTATGTATTGAGCTTTGCTTATGACACTGCACAATCACGTCACAAAAAAGTAAAAAATTACTGTTGAAACATTGGTTGGTTTCATTAATGATAATTTGTACTTCCAGGCCTTCACTGACCATTCAGATTTGGTTGCTAGACGAATGGGTTTTATTCCAATTCCATTGGGAGTAGTTATGATTAAAGTTCTAAGTAGATGTGTATCTTTTGATGGACGACTGGCTTGCATGGTTTTATTACTATTCACCTTTACTTGTCTAGTTACATTGAAAATTGTCAACCTTATTTATATATTAGGAAGAGCTTGCAAATTAATTGATTTTCATAAAACGGTATGTAGCAATCAAACATAATTTAATAATCTTATTTATATTTCATTTATGTAAAAATATAATTTTACTTTTAGTCTCTAATAAAAAATCATCAAATCATTAATGGTGTAAGCTGTCAAGATATGGCAACTAGTCCGATGAGACCACAACTGCGTAAAAAGCAATCTTGGAATGATAACAAAGAAAATAAACCCTCACCACTTATTGATGTGCCTCCTTTAGGACCAACACCAATGTTTGCTAATAGCAATGTTAGTATAAACTACTAAATCTTTATTTTTTATTTATTTTTCTTTAACAATTTTGTTTTAATTAATCTCTTGTGCAATATTTGTCTTATAGGTTGACATTAAAGAGGCATGCCTTAATACACAAATACTAGAAGATATCATAGAAATGGATATGACTCGTAGCGACCCTGATTTAAACATAACTATGATGCGTGATGCCGATACTCTTAGTACAAAATCGGCTTGAACAATTAGAATTTAATTTTATCAGTTTTATATTTTCATATTATGATACTAATAAGACTGCTAAAATGGATGTTATTTTAGATAAGCTATTGTGAACTGGTCTGGTGATAATACTATATTGTTACAAATGTTACAATAATGTTATGACGTGGTTTCCATGGAAACTTAACCATGTACTCTTTTTACACTGTCTAATGTTTTCAAATATGTGTTAAAGATTGCATATTTATTGTTTTATTTTTATTCAGTTTATTGTTATAATTAATTATAATTAATTTATATAAAAACATTTACTAAAATGTCAAAAATTGTTGATGGTAACTACACTTCAGTAGTTTATTCATTGGTAATACTAAAAAATAAAAATATTTTGTTAATCAATAAAATTGTTGATTATTTAATCCCAATTTCTTAGTATGAATATATTGTATTTAATGATTATTATAATTTAGATCAAAGATAAACAATACAATGATGTTATCAAAATCATCACAAATATGTCGGATAGAAAAAGAAACGTAAACTTCTTATAATTGAAAATTAAATATTATGTATTCTTATCTTTATTTAAATGTATTAATTTTAATACATTTAGACAAGGCCTGGCTTATCTTTGTTGGCCTACTGCTACTATTATACAGATGACTTTCAAAACGCATCAACTATATATGAACAACTAGCAGCATTATGGCCACAAGAAACTGATTATAAACTACATCACGCTCAATCACTTTACTCTGCTGGACGATATGAGGACGCTTTGAGAGCAGCAAATGGAATTACCAAGAGCGGTTATGAAAACCAGGTATTTACAGTATGAGTATTAATTGTTCATTACGTTGTATTTTTCGCCTTTTAACAATTAGGTTCGGAAACTAACTGCTGCAATTAGATATGGCATGGAGGACATAGCTGGTGCTAGATCTTTATTGGAAACCAATACTGGACCCAAGGATGATCCTGATATAGATATCAATTATGGATGCCTTCTTTACAAGGTGTGTTGAATATAATACTAATGTAAGCAACTGATTCTGAATAATTATTTCAGGAAGATCGATATGAAGAAGCATTACAAAAATTTTTAAATGCTCAAACAATGCTTGGCTATAGACCTCATTTGTCGTATAGTGTTGCATTATGTTATTACAAGTTAAAGGATTACACATCAGCACTGAAACACATTGGTTGTTATTTAACAAAGTTTTTGCTCAACTACTGTTATTAATCATCTGAGTTGTTAATTTTTAATTTTTTGAAGGCGATATTATTGAAAGAGGTATAAGAGAACATCCGGAACTTGGCATTGGTATGACAACAGAAGGAATTGAAGTTCGGAGTGTTGGTAACACTCTGACACTGCATGAATCGGCTCTAGTTGAAGCATTCAATTTGAAAGCAGCTATACAATTTGAAAAGAATGACAGTAAATCAATAAATATAAATTAATTATATAAATAAATGTTATTGCAATTATTGATAATGGTGATTTTTTTCCAGTTGACAGTGCAAGAGAAGCATTAACTGATATGCCGCCAAGATGGGAAGAAGAATTGGACTCAGTGACATTGCACAATCAGGCGTTGTGTTCCATGGACATGTCACCTACTCAAGGATTTCATAAATTACAATTTCTCATGCAACAATCTACTTATCCACAAGAGACCCTTCAAAACCTTTTAATTTTGTATTGTAAACATGGATACCATGATTTAGCTTCTGATGTCATATCGACGTATTCACCAGTCAAGGATAAATATCTTTCCAACGTATGAAAAATAAATAGATTCTGATATTAAGTAGTTTGTTATTGTGTGGTATTATTTCTAGTACATTCGTGAATTTGTGGATGCTGTTATTGCGCAACAAACATCACCTGATGATGCATACCGTAAATTGGACAACATGGCAAATAAATTAGCAGATTCTTTGCGTAAAGTCACTCGATCTGTACAGGAATCAAGAGAAGCCAGAGATGATAAAAGAACTAAGAGAGCTTTACTCGACTATGAAAACACTCTTGAAAAGTATTCTCATTTACATAATATTTAAACAACTTATTAAGAATACATTTTTAAACAATTTTGTAGATTTATTCCTGTTACAATGGCCCAAGCAAAAATTTACTGGGATCTGGAGAATTACGCCCAAGCAGAAACTATATTTTATAAGTCTGTTGAATTCTGTAATGAAAATGATACATGGCGTTTACATGTGGCTCATGTCTTATTCATGCAAGAAAAATTTAAAGAAGCAATTGCATTTTATGAACCAATTGTGAAAAAAAATTACAATAATGTAAATATTATCAAGTTATTTATTTCACAATTTTTGTTAATTTTTTTTATGCTTTTAAAATAATTTGATGGACATTATTTAGATCTTATCAGTGAACGCCATTGTGTTGGCCAACCTATGCGTGTCCCATATAATGACAGCGCAAAATGAAGAAGCTGAAGAACTGATGAGAAAAATTGAAAAAGAGGAAGAACGATTATACTATCAGGAACCTGAAAAAAAAGTTTTTCATCTATGTATAGTCAATCTAGTTATTGGGTAAAATAATTATAGTTTGATATTTCAATGACATAAATGAAAGATATTGTGTTTTTAGAACCTTATACTGTTCAAAAGGAAATTATGAATTTGGAATTTCACGAGTAATTAAAAGTTTAGAACCGTACAACAAAAAGTTGGGAATGGATACATGGTTAGTAAATTATTCTTTTAAGTATTTTTCTTTATTTTCATTACTTGAATAAAAATATTAAAAATGTCATTGCTCAAAATCTACGAACATTAATATTTCAGGTTTTATGCTAAACGATGTATGTTATCTTTAATTGAAAATATGACAAAACACATTATCGTCATGAGAGATTCCTTTTACAATGAATGCCTGGTATTTCTTAATCAGTGTGAATGTAAGTAAAATATATATTTTAAGTGTATTATCATTGGTTATAAAAATACTATAGTTTATATTCAATGTTAATATTAAAGATAGTAAAAATAATTGCCTATCTTTGTTATTTATTTATTTATGTTTCTATCGTTTATTTTAGTTCATGGTAAAGAAGTCGCAACAATGCCAGATGAAGAAGATCCAACCAATAAAAAAGAACTGAACAACGTGACCTGTGAGGCAAGACTATTAAAATCACTAATTCTCCGCCAATTGGAGTATTAAAAAAATATTTATATGCAGTTAACAATATTTAAGTATAGTAAAAATAATTTTACTATTCATTTTTGTAAATAATTTTTTTCAGCGTGTGTTAAAATATTTTACAACTGTAAAATGTAGATATTAATTGTTTGAATGTTTTTTTAATTATATAAACAATTGAGTGGATAGCTTAATAATTATCTTCATAATAGCATACCTACTTTTCTTAACAGAAAATTAAAAATTAATTTTTTAATAATCGAACAATAATCTATTGGTTCATATAGAAAATTATTTTAAATAAATTTTTCTGTGACAATTTATTGTTGGTTTTTACTTTTTTGCCAAAAATCATTCTTTTGTGTCAAATGAGTGTGGTCTGCAAATTTGAATTTCTACTGAAAAGAGACTAAATAATTTAGAACCATAATAGTGGAAAGATAAAATAAAAACACACAGTTAAAATCATGTATTTAATGCTAAAACATGTTTATTAATATTCTTTTTATATAAGTAAAAAAAAATAAGTAGGTATCCAAATGGTATTATTAATCATCGATGAACTATAAACAAAAAATGTATAATAATAAAATTATAGAATATTAGAAAATAATATAATAATTTATATATAATTGTATATTTTATTAGGCATTATCCATACCCTGTACCATGACATTACCTTGTCAAAATTCATAATAATAATAATAATAACGTGCACATATGTGGATTAACACATGGACAAGATATAAGTTTGTTAATTATTTATGTGTATAATGTATACGCCATGGACGAGATGGTGTATTACTACACATCTCATTCGAAAATATTACTTCTCGTATGTTAGGAAATTATGTAGTAGGTAGTTGTTCTATGTAGGTATTGTTATTATTATTATTATTATCATCATAGAGATTAGTCTTGTTAATCATTTAACAATTTAAATTTCATTATAAACTAAATATTATAGTAATAATAAACGTATTACTATGTTACTCGGCGTGATTGCCGGCTGACGAGTACAACAACGGTTTTAAAAATAATAACAACGGCAATACGACGCGGTGGTTATAGTTTACAACCCGGTGAAGACCCGCTATATGAGGGGGGGGACAGGATAATCAGACGGGGCGTATGTGCAAGACGCGCGTCATCGGTTAGAAATGCATTCGAGTGATGCACTAAAAATACACTGTAGTGTATTTTTTTTTTCGGATTCCGATTGGGCCGATCGGCAGGTCAGGATCCGACTACAAGAAGCGCAGCCGTATGTTTACACGACGAGAAGTGTTGCAGCTACCGTCGGAGGGATCAGTCAGCTCGACGAACGACATTTCGCGGGTTCAGGGATCGGAAGGATTGCTGTGTTGTATTATCGCGCGTGCACGCCAGCTCGACAAAAAAGCTACCGGATACAGTAATTATAATGTTGTTACACGAGTATCTAATAAAATAAAATATAAAATCTATACATAAATATCACCTATATAATAATAGAATGTAATGATGGGCCTCATTCATCATTTTTAACATTTAACCGGAGCAAACGGTGTACGGGCGGAAAGGATATATATATATATATATATATATTATGTAGAGCGTTTAGTGTGGATAGACTAAAACCGATTACGAAGTCGACTAAAAACAAAAATCAATCGCGCCCGCGTTTTGATCGGTACGAAAGTGTACAAACATTAATAACAATATGATATAATAAAACACACCTGCCTACATGAGGGAGATGTTTTTTTTTTTTGTTTTTTATATTAATTTTTCGTAAAACAAAACCGTATAAAAATAATATAATGATAAAAACGCGAACACTAGAAGAACGGACGATATTAGATCGAAGGTTTGGCTGCTTGAGGAGAGTTGTGGAACCGCCGGTAGAACGTTTGCACGTACGTGAACACACATTTCCAATCGGGTTTCCTCATGACCACCATGTCTTCGACGTCCAGCAGTGGAGCTATACCGGCTTCGTCCCTGCGTCGAGATCGTAATAAACGTTTAAAATACATATACCGAAATTATACGCGAGAGCCTACCTAGATGGGGCTTGGTCCTAAAACTGATCAGAGTCTTTCGGATATTAATGCTATGCGCTTACAACAGTTTATTTAAACGGTGGGGTTAGAGCCCCCTCTGAAGACTTTGGGTCTAGTTACGTAGCTGACCACGCAGTGAAATGTTTATGAACAGTGAACGGGAAAATTAAAACCCACTGATAATATAATACTACGAATATGATCCGAAATTAATATCACTTAAATTTCTCGATAAATCTTTAAAATTTTACTTTCGACATGGATTTATCTTATCGCGGGGGTCTTGCTAAAATATTATCAGGAACGTCGCACTTGTCAATGACAGGGAAACGGTTCATTTTACTCGTTAGTGTTGTGCGGACGACATATCCATAAGCCAATGTATCCGTGTACAGCGTGGAAACTTTAAGACTTTTCTTTTGTTGTCGGTCTTAAACGATTTGTCATAAATTCATACTTCGCTCAGTATTACTCGCAATTAGTGATATCGTATGGAAACAAACGAATAATACATTTTTATGAACTGCAGTTTCAATATTGTGTTCAAATTAATGTAAGTTCAATTATAAAATGTGTACCCACTACTGGTCTCTTACTAAGAAAGCGTTTATTTTTCGGTGACATTCATTTTAAAGAATAAAAATCGCAAAATCAGACCAAATGTTGTAGAAAGTAATCGAAACCATTATTGAATTTTAATTATTTTTCAATTTTCATTACAAGTCGCATACTTGGACCATCAAATTATTAAGGAAAAACAGACAGGTCGGTATGTCAGTACATTTAAATAGGTAGGTACATGATAATATCATATATATATACTCACTCGGCTACTTTGAATGCAATTTCGAAGTTTTCTCTACGGTTTTCAGGTTTTAGTTTATCGAAGTCGAATGCTTCCGGGTAAAAATGATGGATGAGGGCGCAGAACGCAAGACCATCACTCCAACTTGTTGAGAAATTAGTTATTTGGAGGTTCTAAAGTAAACACATAAATTGTAAAACATTAAAACTTAAAACGTATCTTGCGCACATAATATGATATTATATATAACACACACACACACAGGCATGCGCGCACACTATAGTAGTACAACGGAAAAAATAATAACAATTGTAATAGTATTGATAAAATATTAAACACGAAGCTTATTATTGTTTAGTGTCGAAAATAAACCCACACAGCGGTTAATAATAAATAAAAAATATATATATTTAACATGCATTCGCAACAAGTATATGTTAAATCCGACATTAAATGAAATCCCTTCGTGTTAGCTCTGAACATTGTTAGTTTCGTATAACTATATGCAAGTTCAAATACTGTTTATAGTCGCGAGAAAAAAAAATGTAATCACGCATTTACGTGCGTATAAATAGGTACACCCGTACATGTATACGAAACATTCATCACGCACGCCATCTCGGTGAGCTTTTAAATCGTAGTACTACTACACCTGTTAAAGGAAAACAACAAACAAAATGTATACCTTGTATTCCTTTGTCTGAGCTTTAACCCAGTTGAGAAGGCGATCTTTGATTGACGAAGCGCTCCGCGCCAGGGCGGGATCGGTGAATTTATAGCAAGGGCGCGATTGTGAGCTATAAGCAAAATGCCCCGAATAACGTTACCAATCATGTTACAGAAAAATTCGTTCAAGCATTACTACATACCGAAGTAAACAAAAGTTCGTGAAATATACACGAAATATATATTTGACGAACAATCAACTATATATTTAAGCATATCGTATACGTTTTCCATATTATATTATGTATATACTAATACAGCGCCGAATTCATCGATAAAGTCGTGCCGCGTATTGGCACCGGGCTTTCGTATACAATATGTTAATCATATTAGTTTTTTTTTAACTAAGTAAAGTATTTTTTGGTAATTGAATTCGAGAAAAAAGTATATTTTTTTCTTTTCTTGGAAACGTTCCGAACTCTCTATCTCATTTCGTTTTAATTAAACTTTTCACTGACTATAAAAAAAAAAAAGTTTTTATGTTTCAAGTACACAAAGAAAATATCCATGAACAAGTGTGATACCGTTTTTTGATTGACCACTTGACCACCGTCAAAATAGATCCCGGATTTATTTAATGATTGCTAACTATTAACGTCTATTAAGATCGTTACTTTTATCCTATAATAAACAAATAATTAATTTGTTCAATAGAATGCAAACTTAAATAATATTTAGCTAAGAATTCGATACTTAAACTCGACATTGTATTAAATATACATATATATACATATTGATGGCATATACTTGTTATAATTAATTTATATACAAATGTATATAAATGAAAAGAGACGCAAAACGTCAGAACTTTTATTGCAGTGTAATAAGAATTAAACTAAAAAGTTATACCATGTAAAACTATAAAAAAATCTATATATATATATTTATATATATAGAATATTTGTTGAGTTATTAATAATCTACCATGTCTACGTGAAATTGACAATAAGCTACTTTTGTCTACTAGGATCTTAATTTTTATCTTTCATTTTTTTTTTTTTTTTTTTTAATGTTACATATTTTATAAGCAAATAAGTCTAGCTACAAAATTTTAAAATACAATTAAATATAGCAAGGAAGAGCTATTTATTTTAATGAACGAAACAATATTAAGAACTAAAAACATCCTAATGATTTTTAGATTATTATGATTTTATACGCGTCACTTGGAAAAATTCACGGTATAAAACAACAATTTGTAATACCAAATTACAAATGCGATATAATTTTCTTTTTATAGTTATACGCGTGTCAAAAACTTTGGAATGATAACGATATAGATCAAATTTTGATTTATTTTACTTATTTTGGTTATTTATTTAAAAAATAGTATTAGATGTTGCAGATTTCATCGCTAGATACCAATTTCCCATTAAAAATTAAAACTTATATTCAACAACCAGAACCAAATTAGAGTTAAATAAGTAATAAGGAACATGTATAATAATTATATAAAGCTAAGAAGTATTAACTGTTCTTAACCTTTATGTATGTATGGTAATATATTAAATGTTAGTACTTGAAATAATAAATATTAAATGATAATCCGAAAGATGGGTTTTGAAGAATTTTTCAACTTTAACATTACTATAAAATAACATATTAACATATATCTGTTGATCGTAATAGACTCGCGACAGCGAGATTTAAATGCAAACTACTTACTTCGGAGCCGAGTTCTGACGTTCGAGTTGCTGGAACTTGGCGAACGGCGAAGAACTAACGCTGTTGGCTGTAAAAAGAACGAACGAGAAAAATCGTTATAGGTATACATTAAATGGTTACAAGCACTGTGTGGTTGATTAAACATATACGGTACATTATTGTATTTGAAAATGAACAGAAAAAAAAATTACCTTTAGTCAGACGGTTACTAGAAGTCGTTGTCCTAGTATGCACTGTGAACACAGAAAAATAAAACGATTTTCAAAAATGTTCCAACCTCAACGACGTTTAATGATGTTTGATTAATCCTAAGCAAGTATTACCTTCAGTTTTTACATACGAGCTGCTTTCCGTTTTGCTGGACACGCTCGACGAATTCGTTTCGACGACTTCTGGAACAAAAACAATTGCAAACGTTATAGAAAGGAGGCAGTTGTGGTATTTTTCTAAATAGTGCACAAATGCTAAACGATATTGTACAATGCGATTTGCGGATGAGTATCAAAATAATTAGGTTAAAGAAAAAAATCTTCGCATAATAAAACATTATTTAAAACAAAAAAAAAAAAAAATGTTTAAAAAATAAAAACAACAAACAACTTATGATTAATCTAAAACGGTTCTGAATATTATTATAATTATTATTGTAAACCATTAGTGTATTTTATACACAAAACATGAAGCATGTGCGGTATACACGTTAACATTAAGCTCACACCTTTGGCTACAAACTACCAGATGATGGGACAAACGAGCGAGCGGATTCAACGCATTGATAGGTAGAATAATCTGATATTATCTGATCACAGCTTACACTAGACGACTTAACGTAGTTTTACAGAGCACACAAGACACACGGGCTAATGACGTAGTATTATTACTGCGTCCTACGTACAATATTACGGAGTCGAAAGACTTGAGACGAGGGCGGGATGGACACTAAATCAACCCGTTGAACTTAACACACGTTTTCGTGTTATTATTTTTAACGATGTACTGTGACGTGTACGATTATGGCGCAACGATGATCGATTTCGTTATTGCGAGAAATGAAACGTTTGCGTCCTATCAGACACCGTTGAAATGTCTTTTTATGGACACAGTTTTCTATTTTAAATTGAAAGCGCAACAATTTTTTCGAATTCATAAACCAATAGAGTGACTTTTAAGCCGCGCCCAGACCAAGAAACATTTGTCGTCGACTTTGTCAACAATGTCGGCGACAAAATGTTTCTAAAAATGTCACCAACAAAATTTAAAAACAGGCGCGTCCACACCAAAGCAACATATTTGCTAAACATTTGTGAATTAGTCTTGGTGAAAATGTGGAACGAGAAAGACGTTGCTATTGCTGCAGCTGCTTACGTAATTTTAAGTTTGGAAACGAAAAAGACCTCCAAAAAGAGGTATTGGGTTCGTCCTAGTCTTTTAGCAAAACAAAAGTACAGTGGAAATGATTTAATGACTGATATTAAACGTGATGACATTGGTCTATCTGGAGAATTGGGGTAAAATTATATTTGTTACAAATTAAAATATCAATTTATCTTTATAATTAATTACTTAAACATTTTTAAACATTTTCTTATGTAGGTGTAATGGTAGTTTTAAGAACCAGATTTCGCCTTTTTACATTCCCGATAAAATTGACTAATCAAGTTTTTCATTTTTTTTTTTCGACTTCTAATTTTTCAGTATTAAGAATTTTTGAAATTTCACACCACGCATCATTTTTTTTAAATTTATTTTTGTACTCGGGTTGAGTTTGGTCCCATAATATTTGTTTTTCATGGTATAAATCAATTAGATGACAAACACTTTCTTTCGACCATTCCATTATTTGATAAAAAAAAAAGTTAAATATCCGTTCAAAAGAAATGTACTGGTTAAAATATGCGATACATACAGACGGACCAGGTGAACTTAAACGGATAACCAAATATGACGTGTATTTATAAATGTTTATCGACAAAATTTTACCGGTCTGGACGTGTCAATACATTGTCGGTGACTATGTTTATAAACATTGTCGCCTTTTTCCCGAGTCGAATGGAAAACAAAAATTTGTTGGAGACAATGTCGCCAACACAATTGTTGGTCACAAATTTCAGAAACATTTCTGATTTTTGTCACCAACATTGTCGGCAACACATGTTTCTTGGTCTGGACACGGCTTAAAACGATAAAAAGAATTTCCATGGAAACGGGTGATTATAAATAATTAAATCTGGCAGAATAAAAATCAATTTGTCACAACTGTACATAACCTAGGTATCACAATCGATGAAACAACAAAACAATAATTATTACGGAAATAACAAAACTTCCCCTTATAAAATTCGTTTAGAGAAACGTTACTTTTCTATTTTTCCGATAAAATGTCGAATGTCGACAATAAATAAAAAAATAAAAAAATAAAAATATTTCTACCGCTATTTTTTTTTACCATACATTAAAAATATACCGAACTTTTACGAGCCAAAATATTGCTTCGAGGCGGAAATATCTCAAATTATTCGGCTCCGTATACTGTACATAAAAATAATAATTCGACGAGGTTTAGTTTGAAAACCACACGTATCACACAAAACGACAGGCGAAAGAACGTACTTTTGTGTTCAACGTGGTACATATAGATGCGAAGAAGCTATATAGGAGACGATAATAGTAGTAGTAGTAGTAGTAGTAGTAGTAGTAGTAGTAGTAATAGTAGTAGTAGAATATTTATAGGCACTCTTCGTTTTAATGTTATCCACTCGCTCCTAGGATATCCTCGAAATGCAATGTGATTAATAAAATATTTAACAAAATAATTATCGCGTATGAATGCACGGCGGTTAGGTAAAATGAAGTATTAAAAATAACAAAAATAGGTATCGCATCGTCGTTCGAACGATATTACGACGATTGGAACGTGGCGCGAACGACACGCGCACGGTGCACGCGACGACGTACATAATATGACAATGTAGTAATATAAATATAGTGTTGGCGCCGTAGCACATGTGTGTCTAAATGGTAAAACAAAGTAATATAAAAAGAAAAGAAAAAATGCAAATATCACGAAAAATTAAAAAAATATACTAAAATTTATCGGACAAAAAAACAACGCGTGTCGTCCATCGGGATCGGACCGGTCAGCTGTTCATTTGGCTTTCGAGCACGCCTCGGTGAACAGACTCTCGAAAGTGTCGTCCACTTTTTCGAAGTCGTCGTTGAGCTTGGCCATTTTCGGTGACGTGCGCGCGCTGCTCCCGCCGCTGCCGCCGGCCTCGGGCGCTTTCAGGTACTGGCGGACGAGCAGCTCTTTCCGGGCGATCTCCTGTTTGCTGGGCGCGTCGACCGGGGCCGCTTGCGGTCTCCCGAGCGGCAGTAGTCGCTGGTTCGCTTTGGTCTGGCCCAATATCAGCTGGTGCCACGACTCGGACTTTTGCAGCACCGAGGGCAAGCGCACCGGCGACGTGGTGGGCGACCTCTGCTGCACGACCATACGTTGAGGGCTGCGACTTCGGGCCGACGGTTTGGTCGAACGCGACGGCTGATTGTTGTTCGTCGTCGGTCCCCGGTACGGTTGCGGTTCAACCCGTTGCGGCGACGGTGGCTGCGAGGGTTTCATGAACATCGAGGGCGCGGACGGTTGCAAGGGTTTTATGAACATCGAGGGCGCGGCGCCGTCGAACACGCGCATGTTGCTCTTCACTATGCTCGCGGTCTGCGGGCTGCCCATCACGCGACTGACCACCGTGCCGCAAGACTCGCGCACGTCCGCGGGGCTGTTCGACCGACTGTCCCACTCGGACAACGCGTTCGTCCACTGCTGCTGTCCGGCATCGTCGACCGGCTGGTGGACGAACGGCCGGTGCGCCGTGGTCACCGCGCTGTTATACAGCGGCAGGCGTTTCGACACGTCGGCCACCGCGGCCGGTCCCGGTACGGCGATCGTCGCCGGATCGGCTTTTTGCGCGACCGGCTTGAACGCGGACCGGGCACCGTGCGAAAACCCGTTCTCGCCGGAACTCGTGGCCGGTTTGAACGACATCCGGTAAGCCATGCTGTTTTCGGACGGACACTTGCAGATGTCGTGCCAAAACGCTTTGGCCTTGTTGCCCTTAGGCGAGGGCGTCGGGACCACGCCGCCCGCCCCGCTCATGTTCTCGAATGTGTTTTTTATGCGGCCGAAACGATTGTCCCAGCAGTTGCCCAGTTGCTTGACTTGCATTGGGTTGTAAGCTGACGGCGGCTCCGCTGCCATATCTTCTTCCCGGGTCTGTTGCAACAGTGCCAGGTACTTCTTGTCGCTAGCCGTCTTCGGCTCGAACTGTGGCAGGCCCCCGGCAGACAGCCCCATTCCTTTCATCCCGGATCCGTGTTGCGGCGGCTGTCGCTCGTCTCCGGATGAGTGTTCGGCGGCCATATCCAGTCCAGTTCGCTTCGACTTCGTCCGTTTACCATGCCGGAACCTGCGGTCGCTGGACGCGATCTGCAGCAAACGCTGGGCCGACGACACGGTCGCCCTCCGGTGGTTCTCCTCGTCCTCGTCGTAGTCCTCGTCGTGTTCGTCGTTGTCATCCGACGGGTCGCCGCAGGACGACGACGATTCGGACGAGAGGCCGCAATCACGCATTGCCGCGGTTTTGCCGCCCCCACCGCCACGGTCCAAGTTCTCGACGACCACATGCTGCACCGGAGGGCACGAGAACGAACCGTTCTGCAGCGACTGCTTGAACGGCTCGGGTATGTAATCCTCCGCGTACCGGGCTGCTCGTTTCGGTGGCGGCGGTACGAACTTGACCGGCCTGAACGTTTTGGACGTCGGTTGAACGGCCGTCGTCGCGGCCGCTGCCTCGTAGCTGCGTGGTGTGTTGCACGCGGACAAGACTACGGGCGTGTTGGTCGCGGTCGGCAGGGTCACGGCCGCGGAACCGTTGTTCTCCAGATACCGCCTGGCGTCCTGCAGTTCTTCTGACGACACGCCCACCGTGTGCCGGTCCTGTCGATCCTTCTTGGAGCCGCTGCCGTACCTCCTGGGCGGCGGCGTCGGCTTATTGCACGACGACGACTGCCGTAGGCTGATCTGCAGCTTGGTCAGATACTCGATCACGGACGACCGCCTTGCCGGGTCCAGCGCCGGTATCGCGCTCTCCAGGTTGGCCAGCGCCCCTTGCACTTGCACCAACATCTTTTGATTCACATCTTCGCCCGATTCGGTGCCCGAGTCGTCGACCACAACGGTCGCGTTACCTTTACCACTTAAGTTACACAAAGGCTTCAACTCACCGTTCGATTGATCCTGGGCCGTCACACTGCAACCGGTGCTCGCCTGTGACACGACGTCGGCGCACGCTGAAATTTACAGATCCGAATATCAGGGCACGGCGTCACAGTTTTTAGTTTCTCACGACCGATATCATTAACTTATTCTCATAACTCTTTTTTTTTATTATTACCAGGGACATGGTTTCAGTTACTAGAATATACGCCCGAGAGCCCGCGGTAATAATGTTACAATATATTATTATGTATCTACGCCGGAATGACGTGTTTAATGATTTTTTTTCTAATTTACATATTATTATTATTATTGACCAAAAACCGTTTTCTTCAAATGTTATGTAGTGTAAATGTCATAACGGTCTCGATTTGTAGATAATTGTTTTATATCTTCAAATATGTTCAATATATTTGCATAAAATTTGTTTGTAAATATTATACATGTAAATATACGTACTAAGTAAATATTAATGAAATATATATGTATAGAAAAATACACAAATATTTTATAAGTATTGTTTGAAAAACAAGATGTTCGAAATAACGTCAAACGACCCTCCGATCCCTGTTCTTTTGACTACCGCAGTTTTTATCTGACGAGAAGCCGAGAACTTATATTTAATTTATCCATTGATTTATCCTATATTGTCGTACTACATAATTATATACTTATTGATTTAAACTTTAAGAATATATGACTCCGATACGAATCCAGTAAAATATTTATTGGATTCGTATTATATGACCTTTGCCTGTATAAAATAACGCACAAGTGTCAGTGAGACCTATACGCTGAAAAATACATGGATATCGTATGAAAGTAAAAAGAATATAGTCACCCGTCACCTATACATTTATGTATGGCGTACAATTTGTTATTTGCCCGCACAAAATAGGGACATCTACTAGCATTTTTCATTGCACACCTTATTACGTTACATTATATTTATAACATCACGGAAAATAAAAAAAAAAAACGCGGGGATACCATGTTCGTCGTGGTAACGATTTTTCGAGACATCTACATTATACGTGTTTCGTGACACATATTTTCGCCAAAATTATTAGATATTATATAATCATAATATAAACATACAACACACATCAAATCTTAAGGGGGGAAAAAACGTAAGAAACGTGCACATGATACAGGTGCAAATGTCGAACTGCAGGTTCTAAGTATTGAAAGTTTAAAATTCACACAGTTCAAATGATCCCGGTCAAAGAGGTTTGATATACAGATACGAGAATGTAAATCGAATACTCTATGAAATTATGCCAGAATCTAATCTCAGAATGCCAGTGAAATGCGTTTGAAAATGGTGGACTACTATGAATATAAAATAATAATGTCTATTACATAGATATACGTTTGCATTTCTTTTATACGACATCGTTCTACTAGTGTTTTCATACGATACGACGTGTTTGTTTACGTAAGACTGGGCGGTATATAAATAAATATAGCAATAAAATGTCTTGTGCGTCTTTACAAAACATTTTCGGCTCGCTGGCGACTGGAGCGACGACGAAAACGCGTCTGCCGCAGGCTGATCTGCAGCTTGGTCAGATACTCGATAATGGATGACCGCCCGACTGGGTCCAGCGCTCCTTGTATTTTAACCAAAATCTTTTGATTTACCTCCTCGCCCGAATGTATACGTACTGAGTAAATATTTATAAAAATTGTACACAGTATGTGTACCTATAGAAAAATATACAAACGTTTTAGGTGTATTGTTTGAAAAACAAGGTGTTCGAAATAACGTCAAACGACCCTTCGATCCCTGCATTTTTTACTATCGCGGTATTTATTTAACGAGAAGCCGTGAACGATGACGTTTATTTATCCATTGATTTATCTTATATAAATATACAAGTATTGTATTGTCTCGTATTGTCTTATTCTGCCGTACACTTATATACTTATCGATTTAAACTTTAAGAATGCACGATTCCGATACAAATCCAGTAAAATATTTATTGGATTCGTATTATATTGCCGCTTGTATAAAATAATGCACAAGTGTCAATGAGAACTAGATGCTGAAAAATACATGGTTATTGTATGAAAGCAAAGAAAGATATAGTCACCCGTAAGACTGGGCGGTATATAAATAATAAAATAAATATCTATAAAACATTTTATATCAAGTAAAGATATAATTTGTCTAATAATAGTTTTGAATATTTAAAATTAATATTTACTAAATCATGCATATTATTATTTCAGTGGTTTATATTATTACCTAGTTACATTAATTACTTTTTTTATTATATTCAAAACTTTATTTTTATGATATTTGTATACTAAATGATATTAAGTTTATAAATGTTTAAGAAATCCTGTACACTAATGCCCTCAGGTGTCAAGAATATAAAAATAAATAAATACATTTTAAATGTACATAGAAACAAGTTTCTATCGTTGACAACATTTGTTTTCAATTCTCTTATTTTTTTTTTTTTTTTGTATTACCTAATTATTTACTTATCAAACACATAATTAATAATTAAAATATTCATAATTGATTAATTTGTAATACATTTACCTTTATGTTCTTCCATGATTTGCCTTAACCTGGCTCTGATTTTTCTTCTTTGATCGTAGTCTTGGCACGATTCCAACTGAATAATTAAACTTTTGTTAGATAAACAAAAATGTAAATTGTGTTTTTAATAAACTTACCAAAATTTGTAATTGTTTTTCGTCCCAAATATTTTCGAGCTCTTGTTCGTTCAGGTTCTTCTTTATCACAGGGGATTTCTGAAAACAAAAATGAAACATAATACAGTATTAATAAGTTGATTAATGATGTAGTGTGCGAACCTATGTTGTACACAATAAGCACTGTTTTATTCAACCGGTCAATGTTGTGTTAACAGGTGTCGGTCTAAATTAAGACCCTCGTGTATTATACACATAAATAAAAATTTATGAATTCGCTTGTAAAATAGTTGGCAACAAGTTTTATTTATTTGTTGGGACTCGGCCAAATATTGGACTAATAATATTCATGGAACTACATTTTGGAGTTTTTCGTATCAAAAGGCCCATGATCCCATGACCCCCCCGACCATGGGTTAATATGAAGAGAAAAACGAAAACCCCTTAAATGGACCGAATGCGGCTCGACGTGAGCTTAGATCGAACCACCTGTTTACACAGACGTAGTTCTGCGTTTACGGAAGGCCGAAAGCGCTAAAATAGATAGAACCCGAATTATTTTTAAACGTCAAAATTGATATATTTACCCACTCGATTGGATTGAACGTGAAATATACACCTCTGCGTGACGCGGACGATCGAGCCAACTGCGAATCGAAATATTTTTGGGAAAAAAAGAAAACTTTGAATCGCAGCGAACAGAAGTCGTGTGTTGTTGGGGAGAGGTGCACGTGTGTTTGCTGCGTCCACCGAAAACGAATAATCGCGAAGAAAAAATGATAATAATAAATGAAACGGGACTAAAAAGTCGAAAACGTTTTTCGTCGACAACACGAACACGCTCGATGTACACCGAAATAGTTGCGCGCGGTGTAGCCAAGTATAAACTGAACTGCGTGGCCAACGGTGCATTCGACGTCGAGAGAACCACCGCACTGACCAAAATAGGATTTGCCTTCAAATATTATTTTCGTCATGAAATGCGCAAAGCCAAAATACATTGTCCAACGGGTAGGGAAATTAAACAGTGCACAGTCACTATTATTGACCGTTGTTCCGTACGCGTTATTTGGACAAATGAGCCAATTTTTCCCCCTACCGCAGCGGCGATCGAGAACGACCGATTAAAACGAATCCCGTGGCTCGCAACAATAATTACTGTCCGAAAACAAAAAACAAAAAAAAAACCTACACGCGGCGGTCGCAGCAATGCAAACAAAGAGGTGAGACGGAAAGTCGACGGAGCAGTCATCACCGTATTTATATTATAACAAACCACAACATATATCCCAACACATATGATTACATAAATAAGATGTATGTATATGTATGTAATCATCTGTATTTATAATACAAATCATCGTTCCAAAACTAAGTAACTACTTATTGTGGGTAACGGCTATTGTTCGTATTCGAGTAAACATGGCGTATTACGGTAGGTACCCAATACGATATATTTTTTTTGTTCGTCATAGTATTGCCGCGCTGTTGTTGACAAATCTTTTAAAATAATTATCATCTAATCGTATTGTTTAATTTTTTAATTCGTAATTGTGTTCAATAACTGCGATGACCTTTAACTAAAATAAAAGCAAAAATGATGCACGTTATTCACAGTGTTCGTTTTTTTCATATATAAATAATAATAAAATAATAATAACATGCACGTCATATTATGTTCCGTGTAAAAAAAAAAAAAAAAAAAATAAATACAATAATATCAATAGGAATTTTAATAGAAAACTGCTTTAAAAATGTAATAACTCGATTCATATAGATAGTAATACATGGAAAAATATTAGTTAAATTGGTGTTAAAATATTTTTTTTCGATAGAAAACTGTACTAAATGTTTGAAATACATGATAGGTACCTTAGATTATAAGATCTTAATGTTTTTAAATGATATCTAATTAATGTTTTAATATCTGATTAGCAATTATATTGAAATGAATCACACAATGCAACATTTACTAACATTTACTAACCGTGAACAGTGAAAAGTATAAAACATTAAATGGATATTAATATCCATATCGTCTAAGCTTGTAATATTTATTAAGTAAATTACGTTAACATACATTTCATTATCATTTTATGAAAAAATTCGAATTTACTATGGGATGAGCGATTATTTTAAAAACAAAGGATATAAAATCTCCATTACTATTTACTTCGTCACTGTTAATCGATGATTCCTCGTATGTGTTTGTAAAATACTACGTATTATACTTAATATAACAATTAAATCAACTTGGGTTGAGTTTTATGAAATATGTATGAGTGCTCAATCTTTTCAAAAAATTATATAGTTACTAAATTAGTTTTGGTAACAACAATAATTTCATAATTATATTATCAATTGTTTTTTACAAAATAATAATTTAAAATATTTAATGATTGGTTCATCTATCGATTTATTAATAAATTTAATTATTAAAAACATAAATAAAAAAAGCACACTTCATGGTAAAACGAATACAGTCTTTGTTTCACTCAAAATCTAAAATATTAGGTATCATAGATGTACATTGAAATTATAAAAAATGATACTTCAATATAACTAAAATAAAATTAAGACGAAAAAAGGAATAGCTATTTTTAACATTAGAGAAAATGCGCAATAACTATAAACGCAATCGTTAAATATTTTCCAAACTATAAATAAAAAAAAAACATTTTTACGATTGTATTAAACACAAAAATCAATCATTATTTAACAAATTTGTTCATACCTACTATTTTTTAGTAAAAATATTCAACACTAAACTGTAATTATTCATACTATCAATATCTTGCAGTTTATTTATTATTTATTATTTATTATTTTAATATTAATACTAACAATATTAAAAATATACTGAACACGAATTTTACTAACATCACTAGAATAAATTCTCAAATACGATTACATTTTTTTTTAAAAAACGGTTTGATTATAAGCAAATATTATTTTTGGACGATTATATTAAATATTAAATTTATTGACAATAAAAAAGATAACTATATAAAAAAATTAACTATCCTAATATTCATTTATTTCCTGTTCTATAAGTATAAAAAAAATTACTTTTTTATTTGTACCAGAAAAAGTAAATTTACTTTAAAATAAACATTAGATCTTATAGATATAATTTATAATATATAGTTTATATTTTTTAACTGTGTCAATGATCATTTAAGTAATATTAATTTATTTTAAAATCCATAAAATATATTTCCTATACCTATAAGAACTTTTTAAATTACATTAAAATAAGTTAGATTTAGTTTTACCTTAAGCTTGGAAATTAAAAATAAGCTTACGTTTTATTTGAATAAAAGTATTAATGATTTTCTTCTAAATTTATTGTTATTAAAACTAACTGTTAACTGTTATTAAAATATTTTTATGCATTTATCACCTTATGGTATTTTAACAAAACAATTCTTAGGTCTTTGTCAATATTATGACGGAATACATAACAATAGATTATGCTATAAATATCGATAAAGATATTTTGAAATTTAACAGAAACAAAATATATTTAACTACACAAATATTTTATCCCAATAGTATCATGGTTTACATTTCGATTTTATTAATTTTGAACTGATACAAATGCATAAAAATATAGGTTGATTTTTTTAAGTTGAGCATGAACATTTTACCTGAGCCCTTTGTTTTTCCACCTGATTAACAAGTGATGCACTGCTTGTCGTTGTCGCAGAAGGATTAGATGTTGGAGACTGTCCTCCATGTTCCATACCATGTAGAATGACTGATGCACCTAAAAACTTGTTGAGCAGTGAACGGGCTTCAATGTCTTCATTGGTATCACCATTTTCAACAACTATAATTTAAAACAAATAATTTATAATTAGTATCAGTATATTACACTTCCAAACCAAAAGTTCTAATTACCTAGATCAGCATTTCGCATTCTAGTTAAAACATCTTGAACACCAGTCACTCTTGAACTATTATCAAGAAATGATGAAGCAGTTACACTACTTTTTGAAGCATTTACTTTAGTAGTTACTGATTTTTCTTCAACTTGTCTATTACTATTAGTTGAATCAGATTTAGAAGACCTGTTTTGTTTCAAACTAGATGAAACTGAAAATAAAAATAAAAAATAAATTATTATACAATAAAAGCATAATAACTATTATCAATTACCAGTGGCTTGCTGAAATTTGTGTTGAAGTGCCTTGATTGAATCGCCGCGTACTAAACTCGTTCTCGGCGTATTCTGAGTTGAATCTTCAGTTCTTTCGTAACCATTTGATTCTTTTGACGAACGTCTACTGTCTCGATCAAAATTTTCTTGACTGAATCTCTTCTGGATACTTTCAAATTTGTCGTTAGTACGACTTCTTTTCACTACTTTGTTACCATCAATATTATCAGACTCATTAAGTTCTTCAGTAATTTCAGTAATTTCAGGACCGGTGCCTTTACCGATGGGAGTAGTAACTGTAGTAACTTTAGCAATACCTTTTTTGAGATCTGAATTATCGGGGCTCTGATAGGTATAATGTCCCCGTGTAAGTTTACCCGATGGTTCTTGATCATTCACAGAAGATACTTCACCTAAGAAAAAATATAATAAAATATATAATCATAATATAAATTAAATCATATAACTTTGTAACATAATAATAAAATTACCTTCTAAAAGTAAATTATGCTCCCATTGTATTTGTGAAATTCGTAAAGTTACAAAAGCTATTATAAGTATAAAAAAAACTACAGGCCATGCATATGAAAATATTAGAAAGCTGAAAACTAGGCCAATGTTTAAAACACGATCCCAAGACGGATTCATTTATAAATATAAAATGAAGAAAATTAAAAGCACTAAGTTGAACGTTTGAAATATATGGTCCTAGCACTAGCTGTTACCATACACAAATAACGACTTTTGAAGAAGCGCTTCTAGATTTTTTTGTATTTTAATTACGTATTGGACGAAGTCCAATTTGAATTTGTCTTATATTCACCTAGCCTAACGCTTGATCACATGTCATTGCAACACCAGAAAATATAATATAAATTCGGCAATAATCGTGTCATAAAATTTTTTTTATGAAGTTAAATGTATTAAAAAGCATAAACAATATATAAAATATCATATTAACCTTTCAAGAAGTCTTGTGTAACTGAAACTTTTCCAGATCCATCAGATCTCATAACACTTTTTGACTGAAAAACTGTTGACTGACTTTTGCTTGTCTTCAATATAGTTTCTAATAAAAAAATTAATATATTATTAAACACAATTTCAGTTAAAATTATTTTTCTATATATACCATTGCAATTATCATCTTCAGATTTTTTTATAATTGAATGCAATGATATTGAATTGGGGTCTGTATATCCATTTTGTTCAAAAGTAGAATACAACCCCTCATCTTTAGTATCAAGTATAAAACTATCTCTAAATTTCGCTTTTGGTTTTTGTCTAGGTTGCTCATCAAACTTAGAACTCTCTTCTAAAAAAAAAAAAATTATAATCATAAAAAAATAAACTTATTTTACGCGTATTAGTTTCACACTATCTTAACAATATTAGTTTTATTTAAATATTTTTAGACAAAAATTTTTATTAGTAATCAGTTACTAAAAAAGTAAAATAATTTGATCAATTTTTATGTTTTATTATTAAGATGAAAATATTTGAAATTTAATATAATTAAATATTACAGATTATATTAGAAAAAGAGTAAACCATAATACATCGTTTTTCAGTTATAATAAGTACCTAATAATATCTAAATTTTCTTTTTTTTTAAAGAAAAAAAAAACATTAAAATTCAACAAACACACATAAGTATTTTATACACTTCTTAAATACATTATATAACAACAATATAACAGGACTCATGTTCTTTTTTTATCTGGCCGTGCTACATTTTAAAATAACTTCAAACATTTTTAGCATTTATTGGTATTTAATTTTAATTAAAAAATTATATATCCATATAAGCATAGCATTTTAGGTATAGGTATTAGGTATTTATTTTATTGTATTGGTTCAGTCGTAAAATTAAATATTATAAAATAAATGCTAACTATCAATTTTAATGACATTTTTTTTTTTTACTTTCTTTGCTTTGACCCGTCTGTTCTTAAAATGTTATAAATTGACCCTACGATTACTTTAAGTTGTCCATCTCAGTTATATAGATACTATAATTATAATATAAATGATTAACTTTTATTTTCGAGTAAGTTAAGCTGTTTCAATTTTATATATAGTTAAAAAAAATTTAAAAAAAAAATTGAATTCGATCTCATATTTTAAAACCATGTCATTGACAAACAATGAATTTAACTATAAAATTCATTAATGTTTTACACTTTTTCATCAACATTTAATTAAAAGAATATTTAACATGGATACACTTTTTTAAAAGACCGGAACGTTTTCAAGTTTCTAATACCAACACAGTCAAAATTACTGGATAGTATATCAACAGAAAAAAATATTCAGAAACGCCTAGTTAATGGTTAGGTTGGATTATTCGTTCTGATAGTCAACCCTTTTATGGCAATAACAACGTAAAATAATGTTAAAAAAAAAACTGTACATACTAGCATGTTTTTCGTGTTTTAGAACTAGCTCTTTCAGCTGCGGAGATACCGGTGGTTCTGGCATATCTTCGTAAATAGGTTCTTCTTCGTTTTTACCAATACTCTGTAATGCTTTCAGTCCAAACAGCGGTTTACCTTTGTGGTCGGTGATCAATTGATCAACACCACCTTTTTGTTCGGAAACTTTCTGATGAACGGTCCTCGACTCTTGTACTGAGTTTTCACCTTTCAATGCCTTCAAACCAGAGAGCGGTTTATTTTTATGGTCAGAAACGGACGTATCAACGAGATTGTCAGTTACAATGCTTGCTAGAAAAACAACGAGAAAATAAAAACGATATAAATTATTAACAGTAAAGAATAAATGTTCAAAAGATTACTAAATACTTGTTGTTAAGTATTATTAAAGTCTAAAAAGTAAATAAACACATAGTTACCGGCGGGAAATAATAGAAGCACATAGAAGTACATAGATCACTATGTGAAAAATTAAAAACAAATATTTCCAAAAAAAAAAAAAAAAATGAAATACGATCCATGATGGAATAGAAAATATGAGAAGGAAAACTAAACCAAATAGAAAAACTATTTTCGATAATGTAAGAAAACTACAAGACAGATATTAAAAACGCTTTACAGCAAAATTAATAAGACAACACTTCAACCAATATCATCTCGACTAGGAGAGAGAAAAAGACCAAAAACAGCAAGAGAAGAAGAAAAATTTACTTCTGTAACAAAAAAAAAAAAAAAAACAACAGACCTCGCTCCAATATACTCGTAGATTGAACTAAAAATGAGCAAGTTGAAACAGAACTCAAAATAAAAAAGACTGAGAGTAAAACATCCATAGAATTAAAGAAGCTAGCATATGCAGGAATATTAAAAAGAAATCTTACACCAAAGATAATGGTAACCAATACTATCAAAATAACTGGAGACATATATATAAAATATATATATATATATATATATATATATATATATATATATATATAAGAGCAGCAATAGTACAATGCGATTTAAATATTGTCATGCAGACAACATTCAAACCAAAAATACTAATTTACAATGTCGATGGAGAATTCACAGCTGAAGAATTAATTGATGATCTTATAAATTAAAATTCAGAGCTCAGAGACACCTATAAGAATCAATATAACGCTCTTACAAAAATATCACCGTTAGGAAAATTAATGTCAAGAAGAGTATTCTTGCTAATACAAGTAGATTTTGCTATCTATAAATGATAAGTTGATAAACAATTCTTTATAGGAATGATATACTACTGAGTACAGCCACAAGATCAAGTGTCCAGATGTTACATATGTCAGAGACACGGGCATATCGTACTGTCGGTACTGTCCGACAATCATACAAACATGTACTCGTATGATATGTTCCTCGAAAAAAAAATATCACGATTCGACAAACTGCAGAGCAACTCTAATACGTGTTAATTGTGGAATAAATGAATCGTCAAACTACCTGGACTGCCCATCACGTTTGAAAGCAATCATCCAGAGGTGCAGAAAGACAAATTATGTATGATAACTAACTCGTCGTGATAGATTTGAAAGTAATCTAAATAAATGCAGCGAGAAGCCATATAGTCAACGACGAACTTCTACACTATAGTCAAAACATAACGACATAGATATCATACTCATTCAAGAGCCAAACACAAGAATAAATGTTATATTTATCTGAGCATCTACAGTAACTGCTGCTTAGAGTAAAATACAATAAAAAGGAGGTAGCAGAGGGCAGTAGTAACCACTACTATCGACCATTGGCGAGTTTTGCAGCAAAACGGTAATGGAAGGAATTGATGATGGAAGCTTGAAGTTATTTCAAATATTGGCTTATCAACTGCAATGTGGAAGGAGAGGGAACCCATTATAATTTCTAGTAAAGCAATATGGATCAAGTAGAAGGTTTACAAGTTACAGCAACAGACATACTCGGAAATGTTAGTGTCGGCTGGGGAAGTTTCATGGCTTCTCAAGTCGTTAGTAAGTGAAATCCATAAAAAAATATTGAGACATGGAACGTTAGGTCTATGCTAAATATTAGCAAATTAGAGAACATTAAACTAGAACTGAAACGATTGGACATAAACATACTAGGGATGATTTCTGGTCAATACGACTACCGTGTCATCTATTTTGATAATGAAAAACCAGGAAGGGCTGGTGTAGGATTTATTACAAATAAAAAATTGAGCCACCAAATAGTGAATAAAATAGCATATATAGAGAAGAGTGAAAAGCGAAGTAGAATGAAAAACTAACCTTAAGGGTTGAATACCAAAAATAAGAAGAAAGAACAAATAGATTTATTTGCCACGTTAAATAATACATATGATGCGTATTTACCAGTAAGCGATTGGTTGGTGTTAGTTTTCCTGAGAGCTCTCAAACCGAACAATGGCCTACCATTGTCGTCAGTTGGGCCTACACCGTAGCTGGATGTAATCAAATCCGTAACATTCTGTTCTTGAAAGGTGTTGGTACTGAATTGTTCACTTTTTACTACAAAAACAAAACAAAACAAATTAAAAATTTTTAATTTTAATTAATTTTATTTAAATAACGCCCATAAAACATCAGAAGTGTGCTAAAATATAAATATAATAATGAGAATACCTAAAAATATAAATATACTGTGTCATTTTATAGCAATTCTAAACTATCAGTAAAATAAAATTGAAATAGTTAGGAAATAAAAAAAAAAAATACAAATAATTTTGGCATAAAATTAAATTAAATTCTTAAGTAACGTCAGACACCAGATAAAAATATGTACACAAAAGTTATTTAGTTTGCAGACTGCAAGAGATACGGGGCAGTGATTTTCTTTTATAAATTACTAATAAACATCGAACGTGTTACTTGATGTATTATTATTAATATATAAGTACCAATCAATCTTATAGTTATAAATAAAAAATGTCTAATGCATAAAATTACTAATTTTTTTTTGTACCTTTTGATTATTTTTAAATCGAAACCGGTAAATACATATCATATTTTCCAGAAATATCGTTTATTTTTCTATCTTTCATATTATTTTTAATATTTGTAATATATAATAACTTTTAGTAATATTTTGTAATCATTAAATCAAGTTTTTGCTTTTTGTTGAAATTATTAATACTGGCTTAGTTTTACATACTACATTAACCTAATGTAGTATGTAAAACTAAAAAAAAAAAAATATGTTAGTGAAATTGTGGACTCAAATGGTTTTATTTTCATTAAACATAAATACAATATAAGTAAGAGCTAAAAAGTTGTTTATTTATTTTTAATATAACGATTTGGATGGTACATGTATTTTTTGTAAGATAATGATCGACGCCACGCCGATGGCTTAATCTATACTGTATTTAGCTTCTAAATACACGGCCGCTGCGTACCTATATAACTGCTAAACGTATCATTATTTTCGGTTTTAAAGTTCAAATCATGTTTACTTTAATAAATAATAAATAATAAATGTTATGCAGACATTTTTGAACAAAATGTGAACACTCTAGTTAATCGTCTAGTAATGACAATTTAATACAATTCTTTAATAACAATGTATTTCAATTTTATTATAGCACCTTGGTATATTTAACGTTTCATCACAAACTTGACTCAATGAGTTAATAACTCATTTATTACGATCGAAATTCAATAATATTTAAACGGCGTATAGATGTGTTATTTAAATTTAGATGCAATTCATGTACGATTTTCCGTCAATAAAATTCTTAATCAAATGATAAATAAGCTAATTTAGGTCTATTTTTATGTAACTTATTATGTAAGCAACGCTAAAAAAAATGTATTAGAAACATTTTCAAGATCAAAAATATTATTGGTGCGTAATACGTTTATGAGAACCCTAAAATTCTATAAGTGCTGATATCAGATTAAGTCAATGATACCACGGTACGGTTGATGATGTGCGTATCGAATGGGCTGTCGTATTATATTATTTATTATCTATGGGAAAGCATCAAATCTATAAAGCAGTGTCAAAGAACTGTTACATGTTTTATTTATTTTTTTTTATTTCTATATCAATTATGTTACGTAACTGCAATTTCCGATCTTGCGGCGGAACAGACATCTAAGCGCGTAAAAAATAATGTTAACAATAAAGCTTGCGTGTTAGAAAATTTAAAATTGTTAATTTAATCTGAAATTCTTTAACAAAACTAAATAAACGAAAAGCACATTACTATTGCATAAACGGTATGAATATTATCATATTTATTTGGCTGTTTTTCGACAAATTATATTATATAAGAAAAAAAAACGAATAGTTACCTATATTAGACATTTTAAACGGAAATATTTTTTTTTGGCAAAAAAGTTAACATGAATGCTGATATATTTAAGTTAAGGTAAACGAACAATTTTTTTTCTGTTGGAAACAAATCAATTTGGAGCTAGTCGTTTGAAATTGAACTTGTCATCTAAATAAATGGACTATCCTAGAAACAATTACGTCAACTATTCATAATAACTTCTTATTATTGAGATTTAATGCATTATTTATTTTGACTAATAAGTAATAAGTAAAACAAAGAACACATAAAAAAAAATTTCAAACGATTTATGAAATTCAAACCTATTAACTATAGCTGAACTACTATTTGACGTTTTTTAAATATTTTTATTAAAAATAAAACAATATCTACAGACATAACAGAGAAAAACTTTTTTGTCTAATATTAAGAATTAATAAGTCCAATTAACATGATAAAATATAATAATACTGTAATAAGTAGAGCACAAGTACATTTCTGAAAAAAAAACATTTTTTAAACATTCTATTTCTAAACATACGAATATGCTAAGACAAACAATATATATACAACAAATGTATGATATTTATGTAGTTACTTTTAGATGATTTCAATGTATGTAAAATACCTCATTTTAGTTTTCAATGTAATAGTATGAATTTTGTATTATTCGCAGGAAATGACCAACGGAAATATGGTTACGGACTACAAAATAATTGACTGTTACGCGTATGATTTAGGTGTGTCAGTGTCACCCTCACCCACATAGCAATAACGGTGATGTATCCATAATTTATTTTTGAAATATACTTTCAAATAAACTTATGCATTTTAAAAATATAACCCAATAGTAATATTATTTAAATTCAAGGAGACTTTATTACGATGTATAAAATCCGAAGAAAAGTAAAAATTATTCTCAACTATAACAATTTTTTAACTATTCTTTAGTATAAAATAATATTTAATAAATTAAGCGTATATGTATTTATAGACAAGGCGTATATGCATCAAGAAGGGTTTTAATTAATGATAAGGTGAATCGATCTCATTAGTTTATGAGTTCATACTTCGCAACTTTCAAACTCCTTAGTTATAAACATTTATCGTGACGGAAACAAAAAGGTGGCTAGTTAAGTGAATAGTTTTTCTTCTCTACCCGTGTTTAGAATGTTTATGGTATAATACGATATCTACTGTATTTATAGAACCGTAGAAGTACAATTATACTATTCCTTATATAATTATAAAGAAAAAGGAAAAATGAAAAGTGAATAAAACGTGAAAATTGAAATCATCTCTATTAGGTAAATCGGTTATGGTTCGAAAACGCGGTAGCTAAACTAATTGATGTTGACGCAGAAAAATATAATTTATTATTTAGGAACATTTTAAGCTTTTAAGTAATAAAATACTACTAGTAAGAGAGAGTAATCCCACTCAATTGTAAAATTAAACGAGTTAAAAAAATTATTTAGTTTGTTAATTTTAATTAGAGCAATTTCTTAAAACCAGTGCGAAAAAATTGGCACGACTTTCGGCAATACTTCGCATCTGAGTCTAATAGCCTTCGAGGGTTATTTTGATCACAGTTCCTAGATTTCTGGAACTAAATATACAAATACATATTTGTAGCTTACACCGATACATATAACTTAAAAGTTACACATACTTTTATTGACTTTATCGTTTTTTTTTTTTTTTTTAAATTCCATACAACTATTTAAGTTTGTTTATGGAGGAAAGACGTGATGTCATTTATTATTCATGATACAAAAAGTGCCTGGCAATGGGCCCGTAACGAATTATCACTACTGACACGATTTTTTTTTTTATAGTTAAAATTAAAACGAGTGTATTACGCACCATCACTTAACCAGTCATATAAATGTGTGATACCTAATATTGATAGCTGAAATATAAAATAAAAGTTGTCAAAAAATTTTTACGCTGCAAACAGTATTTGTGTTAAAATAATAGTTATCATAAGCGTATGCCAAATACAGATACCAATACTCATAAATCCTAAGAAGTGTATTTAATAATACAAAAAAAAAAATTTTAAATATTCTCATACTTTCAATCTACACAATGTAACTGTTCTAGAAGTATAATATAATTTTAATAAACTAATTTTTTGGTTTAAAAGCTAGAACTATTTAATCTTCGTATGTAAGTAATACATTTTAAAATAATTACACTACATGTTTACTTTAATAATTGAAAATTATTTATGTAAATATATTTTTCAAGCTTAAATACGAGTAGCTTATTTTATAATAAAAGGGTTGTTAATATTTATTTTATTCTTAAATTTTTAAACGCAGCTATAACATTAATTTTAACGTTTTTCGCATTCAGGTGCCAAACACTACAACTTATATCTTAATAGTCTTTGACGCACTTGGTGTTCATTAATGTGTGACTTGCATCACATGCATCTACCTTCCGGGTACATACAAATTTTGTTTAATTAGATAATGGCTTTGGTTTTCGTTGTTTGAATATTAACTACAATTGAAAAACAATAATGACACGACATTTATTACTGGATAATTTACCGATTATTGTGAATGATAATGATTAAGACATATTGAATCATTTCATTATTTATCTTATAAATCGATACTATAGCAATGTTTAAGTATCTTCAAGAATTATCGAAATTAATACTAAACGCAAGTGTAAGAACTAAAACATGTCGAAGAACTATGTAAACCAAAGAAATAATAATTGACGGATAAAATTAATTAAATTTGAGCAAAAATACTATATGGTTGAAAAATCTTAAGATTAAGTCGAAGGGCATTAAATTCTAAATACAGGTACAATTGAATCGAAAAAAAAATCTTAGAAAGTAAAATCTCGCCGTGACGAATTAAAATTACGGTTCCGGAACAATATGTGTTAATTTGAACAGATTCCGTTTTCGTTTGAAAAAATAATAAAACATGACGAGTAAGACCAGTAACTGGGAATAACTAATTCGCAAACATAACTCGGTGAACATTTTTCCGGCAACCTTTAAAAAAACGTTAAAATAAATTATGATTCTCTTTCAATTAACCTAATTTACTTTTTAATTTCACATTCTAAAATTGTGCACCCTATTAGTTAAAATAAAAATCAAAGATAAGATAATTATTAATTTTTGCAAAACACGAATTCAACAAAAATTCTTTAACGAACTCAAAATTATAAAATATAAAGTTGCTTCCAGGCTAAAGCAAT